GTGTGTGTGTGTGTGTGTGTGTGTGTGTGTGTGTGTGTGTGTGTGTGTGTGTGTGTTCGTGTGTGTATGGGGGGGGGGGATTATTCAATCGAAACACATCTATATCTCTATCGATTCATGCAAAAAGATCCGTATCAGAAAATCCGCTTCATGTATCAGAAATGCAATAGATAAACTGCATTCTCCTTGCAGCATCATCGACGGTTAGGTTGATAGAGGGTAACGCGACGGCCGGTAACGTTCAGGTGTTGCACAACAACCAATGGAAATACGTCTGCGACGACAGCTGGGGATTCGAAGATGCGCAGGTCGCCTGCAGGCAAATGGGCTTCAGGTAATTCTCGCTAGAAATCCAGGCGGCTTCGCAAGCTACGCGGTCAGCTATGAGCGACCGCGAGGCTATTCCTCTTTATATTTCACCTTGATCGAGAGCACTAGGGACTAGAATGCTGATGACCGATGCGATGGTGTTTCCATTCATTCTGTAATTTTAGGAATGTTTACAACATAACGAAAATGTCGCACTTCGGCGGTAGAAACGATTATTGGCTCGACGATATGGAATGTGTTGGAACAGAGTCTCGCCTTGAAGACTGTCGCCACAGTCTCTGGGGAACGGATGACTGCTCGGAAGCAGAAGTAGCGGGAGCCGTCTGCACCAATGAAAGTAAATAATACAATGTAGTACAATCCGTCAATCCGTGATTAGCAAAAATCCTAATAAACTACACGGGTATTCTATTAGGCAGTGCAAATGTTACACTGTTCCGCGCCCATAATGCAACATATCACTGCAAGGATGGAATGCACCATAGCGGAATATGCAGCCTTCGCTAGCTGGTTTCCCTTTTGCCACCCCCTTGTCAGCGTGCATTTTCAGTTGTGACAGTGTACGCACTGCGACTACCGACCGCACCCCATCTTTTTCAGCCATTAGAATGGGCGTGAGGATCATTTCTGACCTTGGCGACACGACGCGCAACTTCGGCCGGGTTCAGGTGAACCATCATAGTAGATGGGGATGGGTCTGTGACGACGGTTGGAACGAGGCGGCAGGTCGCGTTGTCTGCCGCCAACTTGGCTACAGGTACGCGCTCTATTGCTCCGGGACGAACGGGAAATCTATCCCGGACAACACTATCTGTGCTCTATATTGCCATTGCTCTCACACATACACACCTGCGCGCGCACACACACACACACACGCACGCACGCACGCACGCACGCATGCACGCACGCACGCACGCACGCACGCACGCACGCACGCACGCACACACACACACACACACTGTGCTCTTGTCTAAAGTGTCTCTTATCACTTCGCCGACCAACAAAACCGGCGTTGTTACCCGCCGCAAGAGTAATCCCTCGCACGTACTAAAGATTCATGGCTTTACATTCTTAATATATTTTTTGCCTCTTTTCTAATAGCTTCACCTTTTCATGGCTTCACTCCTCGTTTTAACAGTGGCCTCGAACGAGTCTCGACCGGTAACAGCAACATCACCAGAGGCATGTCGTACTGGCTTGAGACGCTGCGTTGTAACGGAGGCGAGGCGATGCTGGATGAATGCATGCATAGCCCGTTCAGCGCCGATAGCTGCAGCAGTAGAGGCTTCGCCGGAGTCGTGTGCACAGCAAGCGTGGTCCATCCTACACCAGGTGAGACTCCCCGTGAGCAGGCCGTATTATCGCCGTGTCTACGTAACTCTCGCGATCCATGCTCGCGATTGATTTCGAACCTTTTGCAGCATTTCGTAATGCGCGATTTAGTAATTAGTGTGTAATTAGTATACTGAGCGCGTCAACCGGTACGACTTTCCCGTTGGATGAGGATTGCGTATTTCGGGGCGACGAGGTATGACGTTGCAGGAGTCGTGAAATGGTGCCGTGTGAAATAGGTGTAATCGCAATCCATTTGTTTCTGGCAGCACGCGACACAGCTGTGCAGCTGTGCTGTGCATGTTATTAAAGGATGGGCGAGTAGGCACCTCGTGACCTTCGTCATCATTAGGTCATATGGCTGTGACTAGATTGAGGTCATCGAGTACCGGATAGTGCTCAAATAGACATCCAGACAGGATGTGACTGTACATCAACTAGCAGCAGTGCATGAATGGTGTATGACGAGACTGGGGAGGAAGTGTCACAATTACTATACGCCTAAGGTTTTTCATTGCTCTACTCCGTGTGTCATTTAACGTGGCTCTCGGCGTGGGCCCTGTAGAAATCGGGCTGATATACCGCGCAAAATTCCCTTATAATTATTAACGAGACGGTCAGGAGATCATGTACACAAACGCTGTGCTATCAGAACAGGATATATCCTGACATTCCACGTGTAACTTCACCGGTGTAATCGACGTGGCATAATCGCTAGTCTGGCCGCGCCTATACAACTGCCAAAATCCGTGTTTCTCCGGCAGCATGTTCCCGCATGCCAGTAACTATAAAAAATAATATTTTGGTGAATGGTGTACTTTTAAAATGGCGATCACATGTTCCCTATGTTAAATTTTTCCGTGGTATAGTGGAAGACCCCGTATTCTCGAATGCCGGTATCTGCTAAATAAAACTATTATTTTGTTGAAATTATATTATTACAATAGAGAGCAAATAGTCCTCGCAGTAGCTTGTCATGAAAAATAGACTCAGATTTCTCGCTTTAATAATGATAGGGTGCTCTCATTAAAATAACAATAATAAGCATTAATTGAGCCAATAGATGGCGATATACGGGCCTAGTCATACCCAAACTTCCCCGTAATATAATATAAGATTCTCGCATGCCCGTTATCTGCTAAATAAAATATTATTTTATTGAAATGTTACTTTTAAAATAGAGAGCGAATATAGGTCTGTGCCATGCTATGACGTATATACTCGTGTGACAATTAAGCAGCCTATATTCTATAAATAAAATGGTATTTTATTAAATATTAAAGTTTTGCTTTTAGAATGGAGTGTAAGTTTCCCTCGCATTAACTTGGCATGAAAAATATATCCGGATGCCACTGTTTAATGATAGGGTGCGCTCGCTGATTTATCACTAGTACAATTTAGTATAGGGCTTAACATTAAATATATTAATAACAGTTGTGTGCCACATGACATATAGATTTGTTTGCCGGGGAGCCATTGTTAAGTGAATCAAGTAGTGTTTTGTTAAAATTATGTTTTAATTTAGATAACCTGTTTCATAATCATAGCGTGCCTATAATTATAGCCTTGCCAAATTTCCCCGCTGCATTGTAGGAGACCCGTGTTCTCACACGCCCAGTATCTGCCAAATAACGTAACATTTTGTTGAAATTATGCATTTAAAATGCAGAGCGGAGTGATGATTGTTCTAGTTGCCCATCTTCACCTTCCACTAGGGGAAGATAATTACTCAATAAAACATTATCACTCAATGGTGAACGTCACCCGCAGGATCAATGGCGAATTGTGGTAACCAAACTTCGTAACTTGATAGCGGTGGCGATGACGATAACGATGAGGGCGACTACGACTATGGTGACGATGACGACGTCGACGACGACGACGGTGATGATCATGCTGCTGATGTTGATGTTGATGTTGATGTTGGTGTTGATGTTGATGTTGATGTTTATGTTTATGTTGATGTTGATAATAATGTTGATGATAATGATGATAATGATGTTGTTGATGATGATGATGATGATGATGATGATGACGACGACGACGATGCTAATGATGCTGCTGTCGATTGTAATAGTCTATGCCGTCACATTGCAGGTCCCGGGCAGAGCTTACGGTTGAGCGGAGGCAACGCGTCGGCAGGCAACGTGCAGGTGTACCACAACAACGAGTGGGGTTACATCTGCGATGATGGATGGGATCTAGTCGATGGATTCGTCGTCTGCAAACAGTTGGGCTTCAGGTAGCTACTGAGGTGTTCATACGTGTATAGAGTATCGGTGTGTATTCGTGATTGGTGTGTATTTGTGATGGGCGTTAGTGTGTGTGTGTGTGTGATTAGGGGGGTGTGCGTGTGGCGATGTCCGTGTGCGCGATGCGCGTGCGCGCTTCACGAGGGTGTTGCGTGTTGCGTGTGCATGCGACTGTATCTGTGTCGCGTGAGCTCTGTAGCGTAGGCTGTGACGTGTGACGCGTTTGTAATAGCGCAAAAACCGTATAAAATAACAGCATAAGAACAAAAAGAAAACGAACAGAAAAAGAAAAGAAAGAAGAATAAATATAAACTAATAGCATTTCATCAGGAAAGAACGGGAAAATTCGCACAAAGAAATATCAAAAAATTGTACATTTAAGCACGCATTAAAGTCGCATCCACAAGAAGATATTATTATAACCATATAGCTATTCTAGATCTACTCCGTAAAAGCGATCTGATTAGTTGATTCTAGTGTGCGCGGCCCATGATACGTACGACAATCTCGCATTGATATGACATGTATAGAATAATTTCTTATTCCTAATATGTGTGGTAATAACAAAAATCTCTAGCGAACAATTTTTTATCATTTGTTAGCTTGCAATTTCAGCGACTTCTAAATCATCACGAACGACGTATGCACCATTCGGTGGATCATCGATTCTGTTAGGTTGAGTGACGATGCAAGTCTGCACTGAGCGAAGACCGAGCACGCGTTGACAGAAATGCGAACCACCAGGGTAAGGTGGGGGCAATAAAGAAAACTGAGGGGATGGAAGAAATGTGGCCGGCGTCGATGATGTTCGAACCTCCGGGGTATCGCAAGAGATAGGCGCTAACACATTGCGAACTAAATATCGTCCGCTAACTTGTATACTAGACACAAGCCAGCGTGCATCGTAACCATGTTAAGCTGTCACTATTATAAATCATAAGTAGAATAGAGTATAGGGATGATATAATAGAAATAGATTAACCTTAACATTTAAACAACTTGAGAAAATGTTTTTTATTGTACCATATTGCACGAACTGGCCGACATACGATGCTGACTATCGCATCTATAACACGGCGGTTTTTTAAAACTACTGGCGCAGACCAGTGCAGCTTGAGGATTCGCTGAGAGATCAACAAAAGAGAGATAAAACTCCTAACTACGGCAATGTAAGAACTTTAACTAACGCCAGGATCAGCTGGAGGTGTCTGTGATCAGGGCTGGACTTGCAAGATAGCAATACCATCTGCCGGCAGCTTGGCTATAGGTGATTCAATAAGAGTTCCATATTCCTGACGGCCAGGTTTTATGCCTCAAGAAACGCGACTGGACACTAGCGTTTTTATAGTATATTACCTAATCCGATGCATCATAATAACCTAATATACACCACAACGAACGAGAAATTCAACCGCGAAAACGGCATTTTGTTTGTGAGTTCCTGATTTGGTAGATACCCTCTATCACTCCCGCTCCTCTTCGCTTCTCTTTCTTCCCTCACCCTCTCCTCTCCCTACCCTGTTAAATATATATATATATATATATATCAAGTATATATATATTATATCAGTATATATAATAATATTTATTTATCTCTTCCTCGCTCTCGCTCTTAATTGCTAAGAAGACATGACACAATTTTTATGCCACCACAATCAAACTACTTTGTATTACTATATATATCCCAGTTACAATTGCATTAACACAATGCGTACGTTTCTTTCATACTCGTAGTGATGCCAGAGAGATCACCACCACACTCGCCGTTTCGGCCCGCACAGACACGTACTGGTGAACGAGTGGCGTGTACGGAAACCGAAGCTTCCCTTCAACGACTGCTCGTTTCAAATGGGCGCCTGCCCGCCAGGTAGATCTGCAGGTGTCATCTGCGTCTCTCCAGACATCACCGAACGTGAGTGCTCACCGGCGGTCGTCATATATATATATATAATATAATATAATATATATATCATTTATTTATTTATTTATTTATTTATTTATTTATTCGTTCATTCATTTATTTATATATTCTATTTATTTATTCATTCATCTATTCATTTATTTTTATTTATTATATTTATTTATTTATATTTATTTATTAAATTATTTATTTAGTATACAATTATGTGGCGTACAGTACCGCCTCGAGAAGACGCTTCGTGCATGTAAAATTTTATAATGACACGTACACCGATAATATCATAATTTAAATATTATATGTTGATTTTCTATTAATTTAATTGTTTGTCATAATAAAATTTTTAATAATAAAATCTGAAATATAATAATATAATAATAAGATAATTAAGCGTATATATGATTATATCAGACGCTACAATAATTTTAGTTGTAACAGTAGTAGCCTAATTTGCACGAAACAAACCGAAATAGTCTTAGAATAGTAGGTATGACTTGCAAGCTTGTAAAAATTGTTAATCGTCAGCTAAATTTACATCTGGAGATGTAGGTATGGTTCTTGTGTTGCTACGTAGCAACCCCAACTGTTGTCTCAAAGAAATGTGTACAGGTCGGCATGCACACCACGAAGAAACTTCTCTACCTGACGCTGGTTACCATGACTATTAAACGTACAACAGTTTACCACACAATCTCGAGTTTATATACACTATACTGACTATAATACGTAACATAGGAAGAGTTTCTTAGCACATGGATTGCTCATATTTACGATGAAAGTTCCGAATGTGGCACACATATGCTATGACATGCAGGTGCTTTCAGTATACCTTTGACGCGTTTTGCTCGTATGTACTGATTGTCGTTTGTTCGTTTGCGTCGTGCGTACAGCTATTCCGACCCCGAAGGAAGTGTCATGCTCATCCCGCACCAGCCGGGGAAAAGCAACTGCATATCTATCACAACGGCCGAGTGCGGAGGAATCTGTGACGACGAATGGGAGACTCAACCGACGAGCAGTGTCGTCTGCCGCATGCTGCGGATATCAGTTATAAAATACACCCGCGCGGCGCGCACACGCATACACATATCACACACACGCGCGATAACGCGCACGCACACGCACACAAAGCACACACCGCGATAACGACGCTACACGCACACAGCACAACACACACACACACACAGCACACAAACACACACACACACACACACAACAACACACACACGACACGACACGCACACACACACACACACACACACACACACACACACACACACGGCACACACACACCACCACACACAACAGCACACACACACACACACACACACCACACACAGAGTTGAATACTATCGGGTTCGTTTCGGGCGAGTAGCGTGTGATGTACGATCCGGGCTATGTAAAGTACGTTTTATTTTGGTAGTCATCATCATTATTGCTGTCTATACTTTCACTGTCCCTGCACTGATCGACAACCGCGTTCAACCATAACCGTTATCCCCGTTCCCGTTCCCGTCTCCGTTTCCGTCCCCGTTCCCGTTCCCGTTCCCGTTCGCGTCCCCGTTCCCGTTCCCGTTCCCGTCTCCGTTTCCGTCTCCGTTCCCGTTCCCGTCCCCGTTCCCGTGCCCGTCCCCGTTCCCGTTCCCGTCTCCGTTTCCGTCTCCGTTCCCGTTCCCGTCCCCGTTCCCGTTCCCGTCTCCGTTTCCGTCTCCGTTCCCGTTTCCGTCCCCGTTCCCGTGCCCGTCACTTTGTTACTATCGCTGTCACTGATAGTACGCGACATAGAGTGTAGTACGGTGTTTTAGCATTAAGATAGAGACATGGGGAATCCGGCACATTACCTAGGCAAATGTTCAGGCGATGAACCAAGAAGACATTAGCTACATAATTAAGAGCACCCATAATTCGGAATGGACAGAGGGCAGTGCCGAATGGTACGGAACACATTAACTTCAACAAGAATGCGGAGGGCTTTATCAAACAGCGATCATTAAGCGGGCAGCGGCCACGATGGTCGGCACTCCGGCCTGGTACAAGAGCACGGGCGTCGCGACCGGTCGTTGTGGCCACTAGTCAGGCCACAAACTAGGAAGTCTAATCAGGTCGCGACGAACGCGCGTACGGTTTAAAAAGGAGAGGTTTTGAGAGAAAGGGGAAGAGACGCCGACGACAACTTAGTATGTGTACACTGTTGCTATTCGTGTTTAGAATAAAGCTATAAGTTGTCACCGTTTATACAACTGTTACGTTCTACTGTCTACGATACGATATTCCACTCTACTATACTACTACTACTACCCAGTCTACAACTATAACTACTATAAAAGACGTAACATTATAGAGTAATATTTAACATGGTTACTTGTGTAACTTTAGTTTGGCCGTACGCGTGAGCACGGGTGGGGATTTCGGTCTGGAGCAGAGCTACTGGCTAGATGACGTCGGCTGCAGTGGAAGCGAGGAGCGACTTACGGATTGCCCCCATCCAGACTGGGGAGCGAACAACTGTGACTCCTCCGAAGCCGCCGGAGTCATATGCTCAAATGGCAGTACGTAATATGTTACTCTAATGTTGGTTATTCCTTACATTATGTCCGTTATACCTTTCTGCTAAATGTAATTTGTGTATGTGTAAAATAAAGTGATTGAATTGAATTGTTTCCTTCTGACATGACTGCGGTGGTTAGTCCGTCGTTAATGCATGCTAACACCCTCATCGATGCATGCGTGTGTGGGGGAGATAGGGTTTGTTAGGACGCCAGCTTGCACATGCGTGTGCGTGCATACATATGTGCGTGCGTGCGATTGAGCGTGTGTGGGGGGAGGGGGCATGCGTGTGCGCGTGTACTAGTGTATGAAGGTGCGTGAAGGTGAGGGTTGTATGTGTTTGGGTCGGGTTTCTTGTTGGAGAGATAGCATGTGTACGTGGTTTGTGATGTGGGTTGCATAAATTATGTGTGGTTTGTTATGAACGGCAGCGTGCCTTTGATTTGTTGTCGATTGCATGGATTGTGTTTGATATGATATAGATTGCATGGGTGTTTGATATTATCAAGGGTTGATAATGACAAATTTTCATCTGTCATTATTAACCCTTGATATGACATAGATTGCATGAGTGTCTGTTTTGGTATGGACTACGCGAGTATTTGTTTCAATGTGGATTTCAATAATAATTATGTTTGAATTGATGTGGATTGCGTGAGCGTTTAATATGATGTCGATTGCATAGGTGTGTGATATAATGTAGATACATGAGTAGTTGCTTAATGTTGATTGCACGAGTGTTTAATATGATATAGATTGCACGAGTGTTTGATATGCTCTAGATTGCATGAGTGTCTGTTTTGTTATGTATTGCATGAGTGTTTGTTTTGTTATGGATTGCATGAGTATTTGCTTTGGTGTGGATTTTATTGGTGTTTGATTTGGTGTGGATTGCGTAAGTACTTGATTTTGTATGGATTGCATTAGTATTTGCTTCTATGGGGATTGCATGACTATTTGGTTTGATGGGAATTGCATGACTATTTGCTTTGATGGGGATCGCGGGATCAGTGTTTAGTTAATTGTGGATCGAGTATGTCCAAATATAATCTCCGCTGTTCGCAGCCGTTGCTGGTGACGTGGCTCCCCTTCGTCTGGTCAACGGGGACACTGATAACGGATACGTTCAGGTGTTCTACGAGAATCAGTGGGGCTACATCTGCGATGACCACTGGGACTTGTCCGACGGACGGGTTGCTTGCAAGCAGCTTGGCTTTAGGTACGTCACGGCAACATCGTACAAACTATGGAGCTAGCTATTAGCTATCCCATGAGGAATGATCGGGAGGGAGGCTGCGATGCCATCGCGTGTAGCCTAAGTATTTTCTACAAAAAAATCTTAAGCATGTCGATTTTTATTACATTTTTTCTCTAGTTCTTTTTTAAATGTACATCTATCTATTCCGGTATATAATTACGTTGCAGTAATTAAATAGAGCTTCACGTCATTATGGAAAACCGGACAAGTTTTTGTAATTTATCTTTTTTGCATTTCAGGAACGCGCTATCCGTCCAAAGTAACTCTGGTTACGGTGATGTCGAACCTGATTTCAAAATCTGGCTAGACGATTTGCAGTGTTCCGGCTTCGAACATGGCATTAGCCGCTGCAACCACTATGGCTGGGGTACTCACAATTGTGGCGGCTCGGAAATAGCAGGCGTTATTTGTACTAACGCTAACTTGCCGAGCGATGGAGGTATTTCCTGCATAGATATACATTCCTTATATTGTTTGAGTAAGCATTGTGTGAATACAAGCATTTTACAGTTGATGGGGGATTGTGGCAAGATAAAATACAGTAGGGGAAACATTGGGTCTTCTCATAGGGACCTTTGATAAGTATTTATAGTTTTGACAGCCCTATCAAGGAAGTTTTGCCGGTGGCGGTGGGTAATTGTTCGCCACGGCCGCACACTGCAAAGGCCTGTAATCCCTACCAGCATCTAAGTTGTTATGTGATTTTGGCAGAATTTCATTTTAAAGACCAACAATTAACTGATTTTTAGAGCAAGCAAAACTATTCGTTATTGAGATTTCATTTACCATTCGCTACCCCGACGATTTGCTAGAATGCAGACCAGGGTTTTTCACGCGGCGCTCTTTGCTGCTATAGATGTACGGCTCGTCGACGGCAGCAGGTCGTCCGGAAGCGTGCAGATCTACAGTGAATCCAGGTGGGGCTACATCTGTGACGATGAGTGGGACATCCTCGATGCAAGAGTGCTGTGCAAGCAGATTGGATTCACGTAAGCGACCGGTGCCTGTAAGATCGGAGTGTACGATTCGGTAGCTTGCACTATCACAGCGAACACTCACACACACACACACACACACACACTGTGCGTGTGCGTGTGAGTGTGCGCGTTTGTATGCGTGCAAACCTAGTAAAATACTAAACATAAATATAACTGAGCATTTCATTAGGAAAGAACGGGAAATTCTTAAAAAAGGAATAAATTGTACATTTACACGCATTTAAAGTCACATCCCAAGGGGGTATTATTATTCATATCCCTATCTAATCTACTCCGTAAGCGTCTGTAGTTGTTCTATAGGTGTGCGCGGCCAGGATACGTCGACATCTCGATCGTTAACATGTCGAATAATTTATTCGCTAATTCTTTTAATATCAAACTCTCTTAGGCGACAATTTTTTTATCATTGTTTGTTGCCATTTCAGGGGCGCTTTAAACATCACGCGCGTATCCCATTTCGGTGGCAGCGATCTGTTTTGGCTTGATGACGTCGTCTGCCTAGGAAGCGAAGCACGCGTTGAAGAATGCGGACACAGTGGGTGGGGCATAGAAAACTGCGGGGATGGAGAAGTGGCCGGCGTCGTGTGTTCGAACCTCGGTGGGTATCGCAGATGGCGCCACTTGCGATAATATCGTCCGCTACTTGTTACTCACAGCCGCGTGCATCGTAAACATTGTTAGCTGTCACGTGATTATAAATCTAGTAGAATAGAGTATGGGAGATATAATAGAAATAGAGTTAACCTTAACATTTACAACTTGTGAAAGATGTTTTTTTATTGTACCATGTTGCAAACTGCGCGACATCGATGTGAATATCGGCATCTGTACACGGCGGTTTTTTAAAACTCTGCGCAGACAGTGCATTTGAGGTTCGGCTGAAGAATCACAAAGGAGAGATAAACTCCTACTACGGCAATGTAGAACTTAACTACGCAGGCAGCTGGAGAGGTGTCTGTGATCAGGGCTGGGACTTGCAAGATGGCAATACCATCTGCCGGCAGCTTGGCTATAGGTGATTCATAGAGTTCATATTTCGACGCCAGGTTTTGCCTCAGAAATCGCACTGCCTAGCGTTTTTATTGTATTTACCTAATCCGATGCCATCATAATATGATAATATACCTACTATACACCACACGAAGAAATTCAACCGCGAAAACGGCATTTTTGTTTGGTGAGTTCCTGATTTGGTAGATATCCCTCTATCACTCCCCGCTCCCTCTTCGCTTCTCTTTCTTCCCTTCACCCTCTCCCTCTCCCTACCCTGTATAAATAAATATATATATATATATATCAAGTATATATATATATATATTTAGTTATCTCTTCCTCGCTCTCGCTCTATTGCTGAAGACATGACACAATTTTTATGCCACCCAATCAACATACTTGTATTACTATATAATTTACCAGTTACAATTGCATTAACACAATGCGTACGTTTCTTTCCATACTCGTAGTGATGCCAGAGAGATCACCACACACTCGCGTTTCGGCCGCACAGACACGTACTGGGTGAACGAGGTGGCGTGTACGGGAACCGAAGCCTCCTTCAACGACTGCTCGTTTCAAATGGGCGCCTGCCCGCCAGGTAGATCTGCAGGTGTCATCTGCGTCTCTCCAGACATCACCGAACGTGAGTGCTCACCGCGGTCGTCATATATATATATATGTTATGAGTGTGTTGTATGTGTGTGTGTGTGTGTGTGTGTGTGTGTGTGTGTGTGTGTGTGTGTGTGAGTGTGTATGTGTGTGTGTGTGTTGTGTGTGTGTGTGTGTGTGTGTGTGTATGTATGTGTGGTGTGTGTGTGTGTGTGTGTGTGTGTGTGTGTGTGTGTGTGTGTGTGTGTGTATGTGTGTGTGTGAGTGTTCGCTGTGATAGTGCAGAGCTACCGAATCGTACACTCCGATCTTACAGGCACCGGTCGCTTACGTGAATCCAATCTGCTTGCACAGCACTCTTGCATCGAGGATGTCCCACTCATCGTCACAGATGTAGCCCCACCTGGATTCACTGTAGATCTGCCACGCTTCCGGACGACCTGCTGCCGTCGACGAGCCGTACATCTATAGCAGCAAAGAGCGCCGCGTGAACAACTCTGGCCTGCATTCTAGCAAATCGTCGGGGTAGCAAATGTAAATGAAATCTCAATAACGAATAGTTTTGCTTGCTCTAAAAATCAGTTAATTGTTGGTCTTTAAAATGAAATTCTGCCAAAATCACATAACAACTTAGATGCTGGTAGGGATTACAGCCTTTGCAGTGTGCGGCGTGGCGAACAATTACCCACCGCCACCGGCAAAACTTCCTTGTAGGGCTGTCAAAACTATAAATACTTATCAAAGGTCCCTATGAGAAGACCCAATGTTTCCCCTACTGTATTTTATCTTGCCACAATCCCCCATCAACTGTAAAATGCTTGTATTCACACAATGCTTACTCAAACAATATAAGGAATGTATATCTATGCAGGAAATACCTCCATCGCTCGGCAAGTTAGCGTTAGTACAAATAACGCCTGCTATTTCGCGAGCCGCCACAATTGTGAGTACCCCAGCCATAGTGGTTGCAGCGGCTAATGCCATGTTCGAAGCCGGAACACTGCAAATCGTCTAGCCAGATTTTGAAATCAGGTTCGACATCACCGTAACAGAGTTACTTTGGACGGATAGCGCGTTCCTGAAATGCCAAAAAGATAAATTACAAAAACTTGTCCGGTTTTCCATAATGACGTGAAGCTCTATTTAATTACTGCAACGTAATTATATACCGGAATAGATAGATGTACATTTAAAAAAGAACTAGAGAAAAAATGTAATAAAAATCGACATGCTTAAGATTTTTTTGTAGAAAATACTTAGGCTACACGCGATGGCATCGCAGCCTCCCTCCGATCATTCCTCATGGGATAGCTAATAGCTAGCTCCATAGTTTGTACGATGTTGCCGTGACGTACCTAAAGCCAAGCTGCTTGCAAGCAACCCGTCCGTCGACAAGTCCCAGTGGTCATCGCAGATGTAGCCCCACTGATTCTCGTAGAACACCTGAACGTATCCGTTATCAGTGTCCCCGTTGACCAAGACGAAGGGGAGCCACGTCACCAGCAACGGCTGCGAACAGCGGAGATTATATTTGGACATACTGCGATCCACAATTAACTAAACACTGATCCGCGATCCCATCAAAGCAAAATAGTCATGCAATTCCCATCAAACCAAATAGTCATGCAATCCCCATAGAAGCAAATACTAATGCAATCCATACAAAATCAATGTACTTACGCAATCCACACCAAATCAAACACCAATAAAATCCACACCAAAGCAAATACTCATGCAATCCATAACAAAACAAACACTCATGCAATACATAACAAAACAGACACTCATGCAATCTAGAGCATATCAAACACTCGTGCAATCTATATCATATTAAACACTCGTGCAATCAACATTAAGCAACTACTCATGTATCTACATTATATCACACACCTATGCAATCGACATCATATTAAACGCTCACGCAATCCACATCAATTCAAACATAATTATTATTGAAATCCACATTGAAACAAATACTCGCGTAGTCCAAACCAAAACAGACACTCATGCAATCTATGTCATATCAAGGGTTAATAATGACAGATGAAAATTTGTCATTATCAACCCTTGATAATATCAAACACCCATGCAATCTATATCATATCAAACACAATCCATGCAATCGACAACAAATCAAACGCACGCTGCCGTTCATAACAAACCACACATAATTTATGCAACCCACATCACAAACCAGCGCACACATGCTAGTCTCCAACAAGAAACCGACCAAACACATACAACCCTCACCTTCACGCACCTTCATACACTAGTACACCGCGCACACGCATGCCCCCTCCCCCCACACACGCTCAATCGCACGCACGCACATATGTATGCACGCACACGCATGTGCAAGCTGCGTCCTAACAAACCCTATCTCCCCCACACACGCATGCATCGATGAGGTGTTTAGCATGCATTAACGACGGACTAACCACCGCAGTCATGTCAGAAGAAACAATTCAATTCAATCACTTTATTTTACACATACACAAATTACATTTAGCAGAAAGGTATACGGACATAATGTAAGGAATAACCAACATTAGAGTAACATATTACGTACTGCCATTTGAGCATATGACTCCGGCGGCTTCGGAGGAGTCACAGTTGTTCGCTCCCAGTCTGGATGGGGCAATCCGTAAGTCGCTCCTCGCTTCCACTGCAGCCGACGTCATCTAGCCAGTAGCTCTGCTCCAGACCGAAATCCCCACCCGTGCTCACGCGTACGGCCAAACTAAAGTTACACAAGTAACATGTTAAATATTACTCTATAATGTTACGTCTTTTATAGTAGTTATAGTTGTAGACTGGTAGTAGTAGTAGTATAGTAGAGTGGAATATCGTATCGTAGACAGTAGAACGTAACAGTTGTATAAACGGTGACAACTTATAGCTTTATTCTAAACAACGAATAGCAACAGTGTACACATACTAAGTTGTCGTCGGCGTCTCTTCCCCTTTCTCTCAAAACCTCTCCTTTTTAACCGTACGCGCGTTCGTCGCGACCTGATTAGACTTCCTAGTTTGTGGCCTGACTAGTGGCCCACAACGACGCGTCGCGACGCCCGTGCTCTTGTACCAGGCCGGAGTGCCGACCATCGTGGCCGCTGCCCGCTTAATGATCGCTGTTTGATAAAGCCCTCCGCATTCTTGTTGAAGTAATGTGTTCCGTACCATTCGGCACTGCCCTCTGTCCATTCCGAATTATGGGTGCTCTTAATTATGTAGCTAATGTCTTCTTGGTTCATCGCCTGAACATTTGCCTAGGTAATGTGCCGGATTCCCCATGTCTCTATCTTAATGCTAAAACACGTACTAAACTCTATGTCGCGTACTATCAGTGACAGCGATAGTAACAAAGTGACGGGCACGGGAACGGG